GGGGGCGCGAGGGGGGGGGGGGGGGGGGGGGATCCAGCCCTGGGCTTTGTCAGACTCTGTGGTCTCTGTAGGGCTTTGGCTACTCCAGCTCCTCTGCTTTTGTGGATTGGGACCCCAGATGTCTGTGTGAAGGGACTGCATGAGGACCCAATCCACATCTCCGCTGTTTTGACATCTGGCAGGAACAGGCCCCGGTTGCTGTTTTGTTAAGGGCTGGCGCGTGGGGAGAGTGAGAGAGACCTGGCGGGATGCGGGGGAAGGGGAGGGGTGTCTTGCTCTGAAGGGGCCAGTCCTGAGCCTGGATCCTGAACTCTGCAGAGACGGCCGCTGGCCCTGCCAGCAGATGAATGCCAAGGGGTTGCCCTCAGTCCCCAAGCTCTGTCGGGCAGGTTAGCTGGAAAGACAGGTCTTTGTGCAGCGATGTCCCCTCGCCAACGGCCAGCGTGGGATCGGGGAGCTGGAGAGCCCTGGCTGGGGTGATTGAGTCAGGGTGGGTCCTGCTTTGGGCAGGGGGCTGGACTCGGTGCCTCCTGTCTCTGCCCGCCCTGGGGTTCTGATAGCAGGGCCCTAGCTCAGGCTGCAGGCCTGCGGTACTTTGGGGCACAGGGCAGAGCTTCCACCTAGCTGCTTCTTAGCGGCAAAGGAGCCTGGGACAGAGGGATGAGAAAGCGCCTTGGGAAGGCAAAGGGACCAGCCGCTCTGGTTCACAAGGCGGCGCCCAAGCCTGGCGCACAGGGGGCAGGCGTTTCTCACTCCACGCATGCGAGCCCTCCGCCCACCGACCGCCCCAGTGGCCTGAGATTCTGAGCCAAGGCCGCAGGGTGCCCAGCAAAGCCATTTCACTCCCAGGCGCAAACCCAGCCGGACCCAGGAACGTCAGTAACCAACCGCCTGGCAAAGTCAGTGGGAGGAAGGAACCGGGCAGATTGCAACAGCTACCTGCTGGCAAAGTTCATGCTAGTGCCTTGCAGTAAGGGTGGGGCTACGTCCCATCACAGAGCCTCCTTTCACCACTCTCAGCCCCACGGCTTTGCTTTATTAATGCTGCAAATAACTAACAACAGGGAGCATTTTAAAAAGCACCTACCTTACATCGGGTAAGATCTGAACATTTTATCCGGTAGCACCAGCATCAACAGCATTAATGAACAATTTCATTGGCAGGCAGAGTGATGTAGGAGCTAGACCTCTGGGAAAGGACTCCTCTGTCCTCGGCTCTGCCACTGCCCTGTGAGGTGGCCTGGGGCAAGTCACTTAACCACCCGTGCCTCAGTTTCCCCATCCCCTTTGCAAAGGGCTTTTTGAGGATGAAAAGCACTCGGTGAGAAGTAGGTCTTTATGTGGCCTGTGGGAATGAATGTAGTATCAAAGCCTAGCCGGGCTGACTGGCAGATGCAATGTGCCTTATTTTTTTTTCTTCAAACAACCCAATAAAAGGAAAGGACGTAAGCTGGGATTTTCAGGGCCATCTAGTCAATTACCTGCCAGGAGCCCATTGAATTTTAATGAGATTTTGATAACTCATTGCCTTGGAGGGATCTTACCAGGCCTCCTTAACTGCAGCACTGCATGAATCAGCTGTGGGTAGAGATGGGGCCAGGGCCAGGCCAGCTGGCAGAAGAGGCGGGCGGGGAATATGCTGCTGCGGGGCTGGTGTTGGCCAGGGATGGCTGGGTCCCGGAGGCAAGAGGGGGGGTTTGCTCACGCTCAGGGAGGGATGCACAGACACAGGCTGGCCAAGGCAGCAAGACCCGGCCCACAGTGCAGCCAGGACAGGGCGGCCCGGCACTGCCCCAGGGCCAGCACTGGGAGGCAGAACACTGTCTCCTGGAGCCCCTGGGGGGCACACGCTGTGGGTCTATTCCAGCCCCCCGGTGAGGGGCCGCTTGCTCGCCTGCGGGAAGGCTCGGGCAGTGCCTTCGGCTGAAGCATGAAGCTGGTCCAGGGTGGAGGGGGGCTGCCATGCCTCAACCCCCGCCCCCACTTCTCCCTGCCCTTTATGGGGCCCAGAGACCCCCTCCCTACGGGCCTCCTCCCTGCATGGCCAGGCAGAGCCCAGCCCTACCCAATTAAAGCAGTACACAAGGTACAACCCCACATGTGGGGGCGGGAGGGTAAGTCGGGGCCCAGACTGGGGGAGATCCCCCCCCTCTAGCCCCGCCCCGGCGGACAGGGACCCATGGGATAGTGAGAGGCCTACCCCCCCGGGCCTGGCCCAGTGCCCTGCCCCCCCATGCACCTACCAGCGGCAGGCCCCCAGGGACTCCCCAAGGGGCATCACCGCTTTGCCCCGCCCCTGGCTGGACCGGCGCCCGTGGGCCACACTGGCGGGCGGTGGGGCGCAGGCCTTGTGTGGGGCCCACCCCTCACCTCTGGCCCCGGGTTTCTCTTGCAGGTTCTCTGCAGGCCGGGGATCGCTGGTCTCTCTCGTTCGACATGAGCGCCGTCTCCAGCGGCCACGAGGTGAAGCTGGCCGAGCTGCGGCTCCGCCTGCCGCCTGCCTCCCAGCCCCGCAACGTGACGGTGGACGTCTACCACAGCCAGGCGCGCCCGGGCAGCCCGGCCTGCGTGGACAGGCTCCTCCTGGGCACCTTCACCAGCAGCGCCGCGCTCGGCCACTCCTCCTGGCGCGTCTTCAACGTCACCAGCTCGCTCCGGTCCTGGCTCCGCCACGGCAGGCAAGCAGACGCGCAGCGCTCCCAGGGGCGGGAGAGGACCGGGTCAGCCCGCAACGCCACCGGGCGGATAGGCGGGCAGCCTTCCAGCGACTCCGGCCAGGCAGAGCCCGCCGGGTCCCACGGCACGACGGACAAGGCCCTGCTGGTCGTCTTCTCCAAAGACAAGCCTTCAGCCGAGCCCTCCCGGGCTTCTTCCCTCATCAGAACCGCAGAGGCCTCCAAGCACGTCATGGTGGACTCCACCTCCAAAGAGCCGGGGAACCGCCGGCACCGCCGGAACAAGCAGGAGAGGCAAAGGATTAAAATGGCCGATGTCTCCGGCCCAGGCCTGGGGGAGGGAGGCAGGCCCCTGTGCAAGAGGGTGGATATGATCGTGAACTTTGAGCAGACCGGCTGGGGCAGCTGGATCGTCTACCCCAAGAAGTACAACGCCTACCGGTGTGAGGGAGAGTGCCCAGCGCCCGTGGATGAGAGCTTCAAGCCAACTAACCATGCCTACATACAGGTAAAGGAGGCCTTTCCTGCAGAGTCCCCCCAGCACAGGGAATGAGCTGCCCCTGGCTCTGCACGGGGTGGGTGGTCTGCCGAGCCTGGAGATTAGAGCAAAACCCAAAGAACTGTCAAAGGAGGGGCAGTTTCCCAAGTCATGTCTCTCACGAGTGGCTAAGCCAACCCCAGCCTCCTAGAACCAGAGACGTTAGACATGGGAAGGGCTCACTGAGTCTTTAGGCCACGGCCCCTTCCCACCCTCATGCCAGCGTGGGACTGGCCACCGTGCGCGTCCGACATTGTCCAGGCTGGTTTACAAACGTCTCAGTCCACAGGGCGTCTGCCGCCCGAGCACACTGGGGTGAATTAAGACGGGGGCAGCGGGGAGGTTCTTGAGCAATCGTTACCGGCTGGACCAAGCATCGCCCTGAAAGCGGCTCCCTCAGGCCCTGCAGCCAACCGGAGCCAAGGGAGATTCCAGGCAAGGGCTGGCTCCTTTCTCTGCAGCAAAGTCCCATCCGGGGAACCTTGGCACATTCAGGCATTTTCAGGGCCACCCCTGCGGCTCTTGAGGGGGTCTGTGCTCCAAGAGGCCACGTCTGCACTAGGAAACTGTTTTGAAATGACTAAATTCGACCCAACTCCCAATTTTACAAAATCGAACTAGCGTGTCCTCACTGCGGGGACGCCTCGAAATGAGTCCGTGGCAGGTTCCGTTAATATGGACGCGCCAGAATGACTCTGGGGAGTTGTTAATTCGAAATAGTGGCACTGGAGCATCCACACGACGGCTACATGGAAATAACTATTTCGGAAACAGTGTTATTCCGGAGGGAAGCAGGAGTCCATATTTTGATATCAGCGGCCTGTTATTTCGAATAACGGCCTTGGTAGTGTGGACGCTCCGGCTATGTCTACACTGCGGGGGTTTTTGTGGAAGAGGATATGCAAATGGTGCGCTCATTTGCATATCTCCTTCCGGTTCTTTTTGCAGAAGAGGTTTTGCCGCTAAAAAGCCCTGTGTAGACGGGGCCTTTTGTCGGAAAGAAACCCCCTTTCACAAGAGCCTGTAAACCTCGATTTTAGAGGAATAAGTGATTTTGTGAAAAGGGGGGGGGGGTTCTGACAAATAGCCCCGTCTACACAGGGCTTTTTAGCAGCAAAACCTCTTCCACAAAAAATAACCAAGAAGATATGCAAATGAGTGTTCATTTGCATATCCTCTTCTGCAAAAAAAACGCAGAGCAGACATAGCTTCCGCTTCCCAATTCGACCTAAGGGGCGTTGCATGGACAGGGCAGAGAGACTTGCTGATTTCAGCCTGGCTTCTCCTCGGGCAAGGACCATTCGGGGGCAGGGAACAGTTTGGGTTCTGTTTGTACAGTGCGTTGGCCAGTGGGGTCCCGGGTCACGGCAGGGGCCTGTGTGTGTCTTGCCAGCATACAGAGACCACCACCGTATTTTGTGGGAGCCCCAACCATTTTCCAAGGTGACTAGCGATTTGGGGAAAAACAAGGAGGAGTCCTGTGGCCCCTTGGAGCCTAACCGATTTATTAGGGCCTGAGCTGCCAGCCGGAGAGGCCTTGCCAGGGCTGGATTCCTCGAGGGTGGATGCTCAGAAGGTGCCGAGAAGCCAGCTGCTGGAAGGGGTTTCGTGTGGGGCACCGAGTCACGAGACTTGTTGGCAAACCTCGCCCCCAGGCCGCACAGGCACAAGGCAAGTGGCTAACGCTGTCCCCTTTCTCTCTCCCCACAGAGCTTGCTGAAGCTGTACCAGCCCAACCGGGTCCCCTGCCCGGCCTGCGCGCCCGTCAAGATGAGCCCCCTCTCCATGCTGTACTACGAGAAAGGGGAAGTCGTCCTCCGCCACCACGAAGACATGATCATCGAGGAATGCGGCTGCAACTGAAGCAAGCTCTTCTCTGAGTGACTGAGAACCTGCAGCTCGGGTCAGTGATGAGCAGGGCCAGGCTACCACCACGAGACTCAGGCTCATCCCGCTCTGGGGTTGGCAGGGAGCAGGCCCCGGGCAGCCAGGAACCACCCCCCAAGCATGTGAAGCCAAATGTTTTAATAGGACAAAGGGTCAGGTCATTGCCCACCCACAGCTCAAGGCACTGCGGGAATCAAGCTGCCCCCAGGGGTGCTGTCCTCCTGGGATCCCAACAGGCCTCACCAGAGAAGTCTGGGCAGAAGACTGAGGAGGATAAAGGCAGGGTTGTGGATGCACAACACCCCCCTAGCCGGGAGGATCTGGGAAGGCAAACTCTGCCAGGGAAGTTGTATGGAAGTTTCCTTCCCCCAGCACCGCCTGCTGCAACTTTGTCTGCTCTGGGTCAATGCGGGCCAGCCAAATGCACTCTCAGGTGGAAATAGCTCTTCAGGAGGCCCTGTGGACGGTGTAAATAAATAGATCTATATTTCCTGCATGGAGGCCAAGAGATTTTTATTGCTACTTTCATAGTAGTGCGGACGGAGTTGGTTCTGCGCACGTTCCCCGGGGCCCCGTGTAAGTAACACAGAGGGGGAGGAGTGAGCTCTTGGAGGGGAGGCAGAACTGCTGGTTAGAGCCAGGGGGAAGTTTTGGCACAAAACATCTTTCCAGCAAAACAAAACACAACACGAAATAGTGCAGCAGGCTCGTTACTTTTCTGGGGGCGAATGTTCCTTCATCGGCCTGCCCTAGTATTTTAAAGCCCCAAGCCAATCGGCGTTCTCTGCGCTGGGGGTGTGAAGGCACGCTTCCCTTTCTGGCTGGTATCTGTAGGCGCTGCACTGGGAACAGGGGCTGGTCTCACCTGCAGAACTGTCAACGTCAAGAGTCCCTTGCAAAAACTTCAGGAGCCACGTTTTTTCCTCAGTTACAGACCCGCACATCCCAGCAGGCAGCCAGCAGACCTGGGCCTTCGAGTGGAGAGAACCACTGAGAACACTGCTAGTTCAGTCTCCTTTCAGGACTCAAGTATCAGAGGGGTAGCCGTGTTAGTCTGAATCTGCAAAAGTGGCGAGGAGTCCTGTGGCACCTTATAGACTAACTGAAGTGTAGGAGCATAAGCTTTCGTGGGCAAAGACCCACTTCGTCAGATGCATGCACGAAAGCTTATGCTCCTACACTTCAGTTAGTCTATAAGGTGCCACAGGACTCCTCGCCACTTTTGCAGATTCAGACTAACACGGCTACCCCTCTGATACTTGAGTCCTGAAAGGAGGGACTCTTCGCTCTTGCTAAACACCGCAAGTGCTGTTTGTTTTCCTTCCAGGTGGGATAAATGTTCCACCCATTACAGTCTGGCTGGGAGGCGAGGCGCCCGTGTCTGTTTTAATATTTAATCACGCCAATAGTTGAGATTGTCCAAGCTGTCTCAGGAATTTAGACACAGTCTATTAAAATTAACGCATGGCATTCTTTTTATAATTAGTATTACGGTGGGGAACAGGGCACACTGAGACCGGATCCCCATTGTGTTAGGTGCTGTACATATACACCGGGGCTTTGTCTACACTGCCGGAGAGTGCTGGCTGATTAGCATTCTGTCGCACTTCATTTGCAGAATCTATTTGAGCCGTTTTTGCTCAAGGGGTTTTTGCCAGAGAGGCATAAAGAACTTGCGCAAAAAGAAACGTCCACACTGCTTGTTTTTGTGGAAAACCCCCTTGTGCAAAAATGGCTCGACTAGATTCTGCAAATGAAGCATGACAAAATGCTAATCAATGCTTCATTTGCATACTCTGCCGGCAGTGTAGACAAAGAGAGGGAGACAGTCTCTGCCCTGAAGAGGTTACCGTCTAAAGAGACAAGCCAGAGTGAAGGTGGCAGAAAGGAACTATTGGTATCCTCCTGGTACAGATTCGGAACCAAGAAAGATCATTTAACTCGCTCGCCCAGAGCTACATGGGGATTCTGCAGCAGCCTCAGGACTTTTTAACTCCAGACCTCCTGAGTCCTAGCCAAGAGCTTAACTCTGAGACCCTCCTTTCTCTCAACCCCTGCACAGCTCATTAGTAACTAGAAACAGCTCGCGGGCAAGTGAGTTTGTTGTGAGTCTCATGCACAAAGCAACAGAGCTGCGGAGGTCTGACTTGGCACGAACGTGGCTGCTCTAGACTGGAAAAATCTCAGCTCAGCTGATGCGTCTGGCTTCCTTGGCGCCCCGGGGGCTCTCCAATCGAACTCGGGCTGGTGTGATTCAATAATTAGATCCACAATAAAAGCTCTTTGGTTGCACTGTTGACCAATACAACCGGAACTGACGTATTTCAGTGAAATGGCACCTGGCATGTTTCAGCATCGTGTGTTGTTTTCACCATTGCAATTGCTGCTTTGGTTTGAGTCTCCATGGGACCCCCCTGCCCACACACACTCCACATATGTCCTCTGGGCCGCAAAGTCGCCTGGGAACAGGGAATCCCTGGCGACTCGGCAGCACTGCGCCGTAGCCAGTGGCTGCCTCCCCACAGCAGGAGCTCCCATTTCCCCAGTGGGGTCCTGGGGAGGGGAGGACGGACCCCAGGAATTGTCTCATGCAGGGCAGGGCTGGGTGCTCATCGCAGAGGCGGGCTTGCAAGACCAGGCCTGGAGAGCAGACACAGTAGAATCGCCCCTTCCTCCTCGTGCTCTCAGACACACCGAACGCAACGAATGGCCAAGCTGAGCTGCAAGGGAGAACAAGCAGCATCCACACAAAGAGACGGCTCCTCTGGAACAGGCCACACCAGGCTCCTGCCCAGGCTGCTAGCTCCCCAGCTGGGGGCCTCTGGGACGCTGGCAGCCCTAGCTTGCCTAGGAAAGGACAAGGGCAAAGGAATGCAAAGACAGTAGGGCCGGGGCCGTGTGTCCCTGCTGAGATCTTTTGAGCCATGCGTTGTCCGCAGAACCACAGCACTGGGCAACCTTTTCCCTCCAACTTTGGCTTTTTTTAATGTGTGACATAAAAAGCTTTTGCAACAAAATGTCATTTTTTTGCTAGAAAAAAAAGTTTTCATGGTTGCCATGGCACCTGTATGGTTTGTTATATGTAGTGACTTTCATATCTCAGGGTATGTCTACACTGCACCCTAAACTCAAAATATACTATTTCGAAATTTGGTGTATCTATATGGCACCGCCAAAACTTCATTGTCAAAAAAAAAAAAATCCATTTTTTAATGAAAATTTTAAAAGAAAATTCAAAGAATATTTGACAAAAACAAAAAATGTTTTGTTGTCATCATCCAGTTTTCATGGGACAAATATCAACTTCCCAACAAGCTGCAAATACGGTTGCCAGGTGTCTGGTTTTGAACTAGATAGTCCAGTATTGGAGCTTTCTGTTCGGGAAACAAATTGAGAAAATAGAAATGTCCGGTATTTTCTAAATAAGATGATGTAATGTTTTATTGAAACCATCTGGCAACCCTCACTGCAAACAGGCCTGCTTGGGTGTGTGTGTGTGATTGGTTGGCTTGAGAGTCCCAAGGGAGTGGATGGTGGTTGGGAGCGGGCGAGGGAGTGGGGTGGGGGGTTCACTGGATTCCTTCTTACTTCTCCGGTCCCACAAGATGGTGAGGTGGAATTTGGAATTTGAAGTGAGCCGCGGGAAAAAAATTCCCCACTTTAAGTTGTTTCGCTGCACATGCAAGTTTTTGGACTGTCTCTTGGACTTACAGCGAGGACGGCCTGTGTGTGGGTGCGCACACGCGCAGGGCGCTGATACAGACAGAGCATCGAGCAGCAGGTGAATGGGAACAAGGAACACGCTGGGAGGAGAACGGGCCAGGAGACTGTTCCCTGGCCAGTTCCCAGATTGCCTCTGGTTTTGGAGGGCAAAGCTTTTGAAACATCTGCCGCTGAGAAGGGAAGGGAAAAGCTAAATGGATTTCTCTCGCCTCCCCCATCTTAAAAGGAAGGGGGGAGCATATGCAGTGCAAGGTGGAGAGATTTTGCTGGTCCATGATGGGGCTTGCCTTGGAAAACTACGGCTACGTTCTGAGCCGTGTTTTTTGGTCTGTCAGACATTGCCTCAGGGAGCCGGGCACCGGCCCAGCCCGTCGGGCATTGCCTCAGGGAGCCGGGCACCAGCCCAGCCCGTCGGGCAGTGCCTCAGGGAGCCAGGCACCGGCTCAGCCTGTCGGGCAGTGCCTCAGGGAGCCAGGCACCGGCCCAGCCCATCGGGCAGTGCCTCAGGGAGCCGGGGACAGGCCCAGCCCGTCGGGCAGTGCCTCAGGGAGCCGGATGCCCCAAGTACTAGTCCATGGGGTTGCCATGGGAACAGGTTCCTCTCCCCTGGCTGTTGGCCATGCTCAGCGCGCCCTCTCCCCATGCAGGGCGCCTTGGAAGGGACGCCTGAGGGATGCTGGGACGGCTCCTGGAGCTGCTGGGCATGGCAGGGTCAGAGGCCTAGGAGCCCTTCCTGGCCTCCCCTCTGGCCTGCAGAGCCCCAGCGGCAGGGGGATTCCACATCCCCCCAGCTGTCGGCCTGGGCTTGGGCCTGATTAACTCCAATCCACATCCCAGCCCAGGATAAACAAAGCGTGTCTGGTTCTCACAGCACAGGCCTCCTCCTGGCATTGATCCCCAGCCCGCTGCTTACATATTCAGATGGCCTGTCCTGCTGAGACCCGCCAGCAATTAACAAGCCACTTGAGGGTCATTTGCGGGGGCTCTGAAAAGGGGGAGAGCCTGGCCCTGAGCTAATGAGTCAGACGCCCCCCCCAAATGAGGAGGCAGGTTTAAAAAACAACCTGGAATTCGGGTTCCTCTTGCCCTCCCCCTGCCGAGCCCTTAGGGGCGGCGTTTGCAAGGGCTGGCCTGGGGACTTTGAAAGCAGAGGCTCCCTTGCAGCTCCGGAAGCCAGGGCTTTAAGAACAACATCAAACACCAGGAGACTCATTGATCTTGCAGTGCTCGGTGCCTGCTTAAGGGCATGGAGCTCCGGGGCTTGGGTATGCAAGGGGACCTAATCTTCCTTAGCAAAAAGCTTTGCACCCCCATGAGCATCGGCCCTCCCGACAGCCACCCAATAGACATTAGCTGGGCTAAGGAGAGACACGGGGCGGAGGCTTTTGTTGGGAACATCAGAACAGCCCTAGTGGGTCATAAAAAAGGTCCATCCAGCCTAGCGTCCTGCCAATGCCAGGAGCCCCGGAGGGAATGAAAAGAACAGGGAACCATGACATGATCCTTCCCTTGTCGCCCATTCCCAGCCTCTGACAAACTGAGGCTAGGGACGCCACTCCTGCCCAGCCTGGCTAATAGCCACTGATGGGCCTAACCTCCATGAACTTATCGAGCTCTTTTTTGAACCCTGCTAAAGTCCTGGACTGCACAACATCCTGTGGCAAGGAGTTCCACAGGTTGAACCGCAGTGCAGCGAGACCAAGCACATTCTGGCCTCTGAGTGCCAGAGCAGTTCTATTGGCAGTGCCAGCTATTGTGTTCCCTGCCTTTTAGGCAGTAGCCACTGCTCTGTGTTCTGAGACCAGGGCCCCTTGTAAAGGACAAGTCCTGCCTCTGGGTGCCCGCCAGGGCTCTCGCCGAAGTCAATGCAAAGCATGGGTCCATTCTACATAAGAGTCAGGGTGGAGGAGTGGGTAGGGCAGGGCCCTGAGTTTGAAGCCAGCAGGCTTGGGTTCTGTTCCTTGTTCTGCGGGACCTTGGGCAAGTCACTGCCTTGCTCTGTGCCTCAGTTTCCCCATCTCTCTTTAGACAGTCAGTTCTGAGACAGGGCAGGGATTGTTTCCCATTGCGTATTCGTCCTGCTCACAGCACTGCGGCCCTCGATCTTGCCGGGAACCTCAGTTGCTGAGGGTAAGAGCTGGGGCCTGGAATGAATGAACTAAAGTGGGCTGAAGGTGGGGGCAGGAGGAATGATGCCTTTAAAGTATCTTCTCCAGCACAGTGAGAGCTGCCTGCAGCGCCAGCAGCAGGTGCTGGTGGGTCTGCACCGAGGGGAGGAGCAGAGCTGGGCCGGAAGCCGCTGGGTTGCTTCTGCCTGGGCTGTAAGCGGAGGGAACAC